CACGCTTGGAATTGCATTCCCACATGTGTCTGCTAACTTTCTGCCTGGAACAGACAAACCGTCAATCAAGAAAGATGTGAGCATGAAGAGCGGTGCAATGCAAGCTACCGTGATGCGTGCCAGAAGAGGTCGAATCACTGCACCGCGGTGGGGTGGCCCGGCTGGTACCAACTACTCCGGCCCTGCAACAACAATGTAGGACTAATGTAGGAATGGCAAGTAGCGCAACGGATGTCCGCCGTCTTGTTGTTCCGAGAACGTACCACGCCACATGTTGCTAGCCGCACGTGATACCATGATGCACCAAGGTCTGCATGGTGCAGAAGGCTCATATGTACAGACCTGCTTGTCAAGATCTTCAGGGAGACTTGGCTGCTGCTTAGCACCGCTACTGAGTGCTACTGCTGCAATTGCTGCTAGCAGCTAGCACTGCTTCTACGGCTTACTGTTACTGTAAGTACTGCTACTCCTACTTCTCCTACAACCCCCTCTGCTGCTGCAGCAACTACTACTACTACTACTACTACTACTACTACTACTACTACTACTACAACTGCTACTGCTACTGCTACTGCTACTGCTAACTAGTAACTACCACTACTACCACAACTACTACTACTACTACTACTACTACTACTACTACTACTACTACTACATCCTACTACTACTACTACTACTACTACTACTACTACTACTACTACTACTACTACTCCTACGGCTGCTACTGCTACTCCTTCCTCCTCCTCCTCCTCCTCCTGCTCCAACCCCTGACGCTGCAACAATTACGGCTGCGACGACAGTGACTGAGGCTAATGCGATAATACCTCGCCACTACGGGGTTGCGGCCAACCAAAGAAACATGAGAGAGAGGGTAGAAACCAGCTGCATGACTGCTCGCACATCTGCTGCCTGCTACTACTGTTCGGCTGCATGTTCTCCTTGTCCCTTTATCGTTTGACATCGTTTGACTGGCCTCACGTCGGGGAGAGCATCTTCAGAGTCAAGTTCTGTCAACTAGAATGTAGCTGAAAGCTGAGCTGAATATTCTTGCACAAAAGTTTCTTTGTCGAGCTCCCAGATCCTTGACAAGAGCCTTCATCACCCCGCTCGGGCTGGCTGCAGGACACATCTGCCTCGAATTGCTATCTGCCCTGTCGGGGTCCGGCTATAGCCGGGTGCTGAAACAACTGCAGACTCGAGTTCTTGCTGCCTACAGGCTGTTCAAGGCGAACACTTGGCTATTTCACAAGGCATGGCAGAAACGGAATGCTGCAAACCTAAGGTGACTTGGCGGGTGGCACCCGGCAGGCAAGTGAAACAGCGAAAAGACTCTGGAAGAAACAGCCGACTCGGCGCGCGAGCGGAAAGGCACCCAAGCCCACTTGACAAGGCCTTCTCCACTTCGGGGGCCCCCTCTGCAACGGAGAACCCCTTCATGTCGGCTCAGCTGCAGGCGGCAAACTCTCCTCTTGTCCAACGTCCAGACAGCCCTAGTTTCCGACATGTCCTCTCTGCACGCCACACACGCAATCCGCGGCAGTGGGAGCCCCGAAGCGCAGACCTCGATGTAAGCCCTGCTCAGGAGTCCTGCCGCCTCAGAAGCTGCTTGGCAGAACCGGGCGACGGAGGGCAGGACCTGGACTGCCAGCGCAAGTGGTGGTGGACTGGTGACGGCTCGTATCTCACTATGTTGAGGCTTGATGGGGGATGGAAGGTTCATGCAGCATTCCGACAAGACAGCAAAGCAGTTGAAACCAAGGTTGTATACCGTAAGAGACTCTAATATACTATACTATCCCATGCTGTACTGATCCACAAATTGCTTACGGCTGGATGGCTTGCTTCCAGGATGTGGGAATTCGTGCAGCTCAATGGAGTCTTCCAGCAGGGTCTTTGGACGAGTCGCGTCAAGATGCCGTACTGTCGCAATGCCTCATGTCGCGTCATTCCACGCCTCGGCAGCAAGCGACACGGAATCTTTACGGCGGCTCCCCGGCTAAGACACTAAACCCTGAACCCACTGCAACAGTGCTGTGGAAAGCTGAGGTAGAAGCAGCGAATTCCAGTGAGCCTTGGTGGTGCTCGCAGGGCCGGAATATCTTTGGAGCTTCCCGCGCATCGACAGATCCTACACGAGCTGCATCTCGAGATGGGTCTTTCTGACACAATGTGAGTCCGCCTTTACACACCCTTTCAACTCGTAGAAGGCTTTCTTCATGCCGCCGAGCTGAGAGAGGCACCCATTTCAGGTAGGCCACAACCTCCACCTGGCATTCGGGCGCGCTTCAAGGACGCCCTGGCATCAACCGGCATCATTCCTACATTGGGTGCAGAAGGGCAGAGCAGGCCTCTGAAACTCCAGGAGAGGGAGTTGGCATGGAGACCACCTCGGAGCCGTTGTTGGTTCGGTGGGTTGATGTGGAAGCTGAACTGAACCGGAACCGAACCTACCATGCTTAACTAGAAAGGTCCACAAAATGTCGGTCCCGGTCGGTGCTATCGCATTTGCGCACTACTTTCATTTCTTCTTCTCACACCGACACGTGCTGCAGAATCTCCACAGCTTACCGGCACTGACTACGCATTATGCCACTGTCTGAGCTCATCGCCGAGCAGTCGCCCTGGTCTGCCTGCACCCGGACTCGATCATGCTACTTTGCTACAGGTCGCCCAAGACCAACAAAAGCACCCAGTCTGATCCCACATCCCTGGTCTGGCCTGCTTAAGAAGGGCTTCCAAGTGCAGCCGGCCTTACATGGGAGTTTCCGAAAATAGGGGACCCTAATAATATAGTAGCCTAAATATTAGCTCAAAATAAGGTACCCCTATTTTCGGAAACTCCCACATGTGCATCATGCTCTCGTCTCTAAGCAGCCACGAGATTTTGGTCAAGCAGTGCTTCAATTCTTCTCACGACAAGGAGACATCTGCTTGTGCTGGCAGTTCTGAGCCGGTAGCTGCTCCCAGTGGAAGCGGCACGTCTTCCGGCAGACGCAAGGTTGCGAAACCCTTGAAGCGCGAGGATTTGAATTTGGGGGGAAGAGTGGGAAGGTGTGGTGGGTCAATCACTGACTGCACTTCTTGCAATCCTCCTGCCTGAATCGCCAACGATCGGAATGAGACAATGACGCACTGCCTTTCTGAAATAATGACATTCCCTGAAGCCCAAAAAGCCCCTGTTGCTGCACAGAGAACAGATACACGAACATAGAGAGAGAGAGAGAGAATTAGAGAATTATCTATAGATGTTTACTATGTACCTGTACACCCACAACACCCTATTTATATAATATGTATACACACATTGTATCAGAAAACAATTCTCCAAGGAGCCGGTGGAGTTCGCCAAGTGCCCAAGCTGCTCGGAGGCTTGGTGCCCCATGTATCCTGCGCAGTGGATGCGGGTATTGCGTATACATAAAAAATACAGATGCAAGTGTAAGAAGGAGAAGTGATATATGTATACATGTGTATATATACATGAACGAAGAACACCTCCAAAACCAAGCCGCAAGTACATCCCCTCAAGGCTCAATGGGGCTCAATGCTAGACCCCATAACTGAGGCCAAAATCTGCCAGCGCCTCCAGCCACCGCCGACTTCTTGGCAAGATCCCGCAGCGCCTTCACGGCACACCCAACAGAAGCGATGCTGGGCTCCGTCACCATGCGCATGCCGCACAGCTCAGTTGCTTCGAAGGAGCACGCCAAGGCCCCCTAAACCCGTGTTGCACAGACTTGTCCTACACCCCCTCCGTGATTCAGTTGCTTAGAGTTGCTGCCACGAGTGCAGCAGCCCGCTAAACCCTAAACCCTCTCTCTCTTCTCTTTCCCCAAGCTTGAGGGCATGCCCCTGCGGGAGCAGCCCTGTCTTGTTGGAGGTGTGCACGGTTTCACGTGCGAAAAGTGGTTCAGGCACTCCACGGGCTGAGCGTACTGATTGTAACAACCTTTGCTCAAGTAGACACAGTTACCCTCTCTCTCTCTCCCAGGCATTCGGTACGAAACCCTAAATCCTAAACCCGGCTTTGGCCTTTAAAGGCCCCCTTCAGCCTGGCCTTCACCGCGACCTCCGAAGCCCAGCTGAGCGACGTCTGCGAGGGCGAGGAGACCTGGGATTGGTTCGTCATATACATATATATATAATAAACGTAGATATAATGATAAGATAATAAGATATGGTAAGAAGAAAAAGAAATAGTGCATACATACGAGGTCTATGATTGTATATGAGGGAAACGCTCCGTTTGGCGTCGTGGTCGACGGAGGTCGTCGTCGTCTTGCAGAAAGGCATGCCCTGTCAACCAGCATGTCAAAAAAACACATCATAGCCACGGCCCCTCAACCTCCAAATAACGCACTCCGGACTCCGAGCGCAACCGTTCCGTGATCACGCAAGCCTCGAAGCCAATCTCGCAGCTAAAGCTTTACAAAAGCCAGATAAGGATGCAAGTTGCACCTCATTGCACGGAATGTGCGTGCATGGGATTAACAAAGAGTAATGGCAGGCATCATTGGAATTGGAAAGACTGTTAGGATGAAGAGTTGTTACGGTCCTCGTGCCGTCAGGCTCATGCTTGCTATGAAATTATAATGTGCATCGCCATTGCTGTTCAGGCTTCTGTCGACCGGAACCCTGAAACATGTAAACCCTGAAAGATTTGTGTCTGCTGCCATGGGGCGCCAGGACTGTCAGCCGGAAGGTCTGTGTCCTGGGCGTCAAGTTTTTGAAACTACAGTACGACCCAACGGCCCAAGAATTCGCGCAATGGATCGCTCATGCTTGAGATCTAGAGCACTCAAACAAGAGTGGCACCGCAATGCACCCCTCAAAACAGAGCATGTTGACGGCAGGCTCCACACAAGGCGAACCGTAGGCAGTAAAGACAATATGAAATAAACCGGTCTTGTAGATAAGCAACATCTACTGAGCTACTACGACTGCTGCTGCTACTGCTGCCACTACTACTACTACTACTACTACTACTACTACTACTACTACTACTACTACTACTACTACTACTACTACTACTACTACTACTTTCTGCTACTACCTCCGAGAGCACTGCGTGGGCTTCCGCAAGTGTCATCCGAGGTACCACTGTGAGCGGCTTGAGAAATCTCCAGCGATTCCAGAAGGTGCCCTGGCTCCGACATGCTTGGCATATTAAAATATACTACTGTATACACTAATGTACTGACTACAATATAATAAGTTGTACTATACTATAATATACTGTAGTGTACTGTTACATGCTATAATATAGTATCAGATACTACAAGATACGATAATACACTATAAACTTATAAGAAACTGTGATACAGTCCTGTAAGCCAACAAAAACCCAATGCAGGTCTTCCTGCCAAAGCTGTTGCTAGTTGCTTGAGGATCGTCTGCAAAGAAGCACTAGGTGCCGCATAGCCGAAACCCGACGACACACCACAACTTCCAAGATCCGAATTGGGGGTTTCCCAAAATAGGGATCCTAATATAGTACACCAAATAGTAGGATCCTTAGCATAAGGACCCCGAAATAAGGTACCCCTAATTTTCGGAAACTCCGAATTAAAGTCGCTGAGCTCCTGATGCCGATTCGTGCCTTGGCAGTTGAAGGAGAGGACGAAATCCCCTCCGTGCCATCTGCCTCCTGGACAAACAGTCTCGTTGACAAGCCGATCTAGTAGGACTTCCCCACTACAATATAGTATAATATGCTTTAGGATATGATAAGACGATAGAATATACTAACTATAGTGTAGTAAAACATACTATAAGATGCTGCATTATGAAGGGCGCGTTGTAATAATGTAATATGGTCAGCTCATATAGCGTTGAAATCGAACATGCCCGGCCGTACGACGTAAGCACAGCGCCTACACGGCTAAGAAGTCCGCCTCTTTCTGTGCAGGTATCAACTACATATCTACATAAAAACGTAGAAAGAGACACAGTCATATTTATGTGTATTTGTGCACATGGTTAATTGTCAATAAAAATATACATATATTTGTATATAAGCAAAGTGTATATACATACAATTAAATCCATGCATTGTACATACATACAGATAGATGCACACATATATACACACACATACATATATGTACTGTTCCTCTCACGCTGCCAAAGCCGACTTAAAGACTGTATGACTCTACATATATATATATATATATATGTTATATGTGTGTGTATATATATATATATATACATACACACATGCATATGATGCGGTGCCTCCTCTTCCGCCGAAAAGAACTCTTCCTCACCTTCGCCACAGCCTCTGCAACATGGCTCAGCATGGCTCAGCCACAGGCTTGCGATGTCAGCTTGGGCCTTGCTTGAGTCTTTGGCCCCTCTTACGACGACAGCCTCATCCTCGAAACAGCTTCCATCCGTCCACCGCTCCCCGAAACCAAGCGACTGCAGCAGAGGGACAAGCATCGTCCGTGCTCTGCTCCAAGGCAGCCGAGAGGTCTCCACCTGCGAAAAGAGCTGAATACTTGCATGCTGCCTCGAACAAGGAACTTGCTTCCGCAGCTGTGCGGCTGCTCGTTCCGAAAACTTCACCATCAGTTGCGAGGATGCCTGTCGCCGTGCGAAACGGCAGCGGGATCGTGCGCCAAATCAAGAGAGCTCCATGCCATTACATTCCATCTGATGTGACACGCTTGCACCAACGACAAATGGTGCGGTTTAAACTGCATGTTTGCTGCCTGATGAAACAGGCTTCACCGCTCCAGTTGCCGGAAAGCTGAAGTGACGCATACCAACTTGCGCAAGCAACATCGGCACTCCGGGCTTGCAGGTGGGTGCGGAATCACTCTGACTCTAACTTTGCCAGGCAGTCAAAAAGCTGCCTTCGCATGTTCCCTGAGCTGATGCTGGCAAGGCACTGGAAGTGCTAGGGATGTTCCCATCAGCGATTTTCCGTTCGAGCCCGAGCCTCTGCAGTGAGTGCGCAAAAAGCCGGTGCTGCACGCCTTGGCCCTGCAACCAGCCTCTTGAATTTGATGGAATCATCGTAGGCCCGGCAGCACTTCGGGCACTTGTCGAGCAAAGCGAGATGACCTTCCACTCCTGGCCAGCACTGCAAAAAACAGCCTCTGTTCTCGGTCGATATCTCCTCCCTGAGTTTCTACTCGAAAACATCATTGGACACCTAAGATACTTTAGAATACCATAAGATACTATAGTACACTATAAGACGCTATAGGATACTACAAGATACGATCATACACTGTAAGAGACTATAATACGCTGTAAGATACTATAATACACGATAAGGTACGAGAATACACAGAAAGACACTACAGGATACTTGAAGATTCGAACCGTCATCTTCCTGAGCTCCCGACCTAGCAGCGCCATTGTCAAATGCAGAGCTGCAGCGGTGCCGTTGGAATTGCCTCGTCTTGCACTACTTGGACGTTCATGGGTAGTTATAAGTGGGTGAAAAGGGTTTAGGTTATGGCAAACATAATTCTAAGCCATATTAGGGGACTTACAACCCCAAATATAACTACCCATGAACCTTCAAGCACGACAGCTGAGTCAGACGTTTCTGGTTCAGGGTTTAGGGACGACTCGAGGCGTGGATGTACAGCAAGAAATCATTCATCTCTCGTCTCCTTCTGCAGGCTTCGAAGGGGTCTCTCTCCATCCCCACTTCTCTTTCTTACCGCAGACATAAGACCTAAGCGAGGACTGAGGACCACTTACCTCCACTCCCTGCAGTCCCTGTCCTCTCTCTGGCGTGTCATGCAAAGGGATGCAAGGATCTCGCTTGGTAAGGGCGCAAAAGCGGTGTACATAATACGTTACAGCCCTTTCAGTTCCGACAAGAGCATGACCGAGCTCGGGGAAAAAGTATCCGAGTCTGACACTGCGACACGAGAATGGCAGCACAGAGGTGCCGGGTCCCTTCAACTGTTGGCAAGCAGACGAGGTTCCCCAAAGGCGAACCTGAAGATCCTTTACACTACAACAGTGTAACAGGTGGTACAACACCTGCAAACTCCTAGCGGCGCTTCGGGAAGGTCTGTAACAGAAAGTCTCCTCTTGGTGTCTTGGTGTTTGGAACAGCATTGCAAACGTAAACCCCGAAACGCCACTCCGGAGAGGCGACGTGCCTCGGGATCCAAGAGATGGCAAAAGCGCCGCAGCCTCTGCTGCGAAGCGCAAAGCCTCCTGTGCAGACCCCCCGCCATGCCAAGTGCACTGTAGCATCAACGAAGATAATGCACAAGCGGTCACAACCCTAGTTCTGAAGCGGGTGATGCACCCGAACATGTGGAAGTGTACTGTCCATGGCTTGAGCCGTTGTCGTATGGTTACACATCGGGCAACTTGGGTTGAAGGGCCTCGGGTCAAACACCAACTCTAAACGGAACCCAGGGCTCCGTTTAGACCTGAAAAGACCAGCGCAACCTCCATGCTAGCCTCTTCTCTGTGATCCGAAAATCCTACTAAAAAAGTTCTTGATTTGGGAGGAATAAGGATCCTACTACTCAGGGTACTATAATGGAGTCCCCTATTTTCGGAAACCCCCATTTCAGTTTGTCGGGATCCTCGTTGTCACCCTGAAGGCGCGAGATCTCCGCGCAGAAGAGAAGTGCTCTGGCCCCCTCCTGACCACAGCTTGTATGCAAGATCGTACACTTATTAGGGTCATAATAAGGAGCCCTGGGGAACAATATTGGTAACTAGCTACTCAGGTTTCTAAACTGTGTGTGGGTTTCAAGAGTTCCTAAAACTATTTGTAATAAGGGCTCTATATTAAGCAGCAAAGGAGTTCAAGATGATCCCAGATTGATACCTAGTACAGGCTCAGAGGCCCCCAGGGCTTTTTCGGAGAATGCTCCCTGCCGTCAACTCGCGGCCTCAGGACGGCTTCAAAAAGGGCTTTTGGGGTTTTTCGGGTTTGGGGGGTTTAGGGGTTCCTTGCATTGAAAGGGATCCATAAGGGAATGATAGGGGCTTTAGGGGTTCAGGGGTTTTGGGCTTAGAGTTTTAGGGTCTTAGGACTGTTGGGGTTCTGGGTTGCCTTGTCTACACATACATGCTTGTGACGTTCCATGCCCAGATATCTTCGCACACAGACCCACCAACTGCAGTCCGCTCAGTAGGGAATGGGGGAATGGATCCTGCTAAAACCTATAGGACCAGTATAGATCCCTTTAAAGAAACCCTAAAGCCCCAAAGACCCTAAGAACCGTGAAGCCCCTAACACGGCGAAGTTTGCCTCGGCTGTCTCGCTGGCAGGAGTCGGATGGTCTTGCAGCAGCTTCCTGAGCTTCGCGGCTCTGAGGGCTGCCGAGTGAGTTGAGGCTGTAGTTAGCATTATTCTGTTGCTACGAACTACTACCACTACTACGACTACGACTACCACCGCTACTGCGACTACGGCTACGACGGCTACGACTGCCAACTGCGACTACTACCACTACTACGACTACGACTACAACTACGACTGCGACGACGACGACTACTACTACTGCTACTAAGTCTACTACTACTACTACTACTACTACTACTACTACTACTACTACTACTACTACTACCACTACTACTACCACGGCGACGACGACGACGACTACTACTACTACTGCTACTGCTACTGCTACTGCTACTGCTACGGCTACTGCTACTGCTACTGCTACTGCTACTGCTGCTGCTGCTGCTCCTACTACTACTACTACTACTACTACTACTACTACTACTACTACTACTACTACTACTACTACTACTACTACTTCTGATACGATTACGACGACGACTACGACGACGACTACGACGACTACTACGACTACGACTACCTCCACCAGTCTGATTATGATTGTTAGTGCTGTTGCTACATATTTCTCTCCACGTAGTATTGCTGTTACTGTTATTGCTACTGTAGTTCACGGACCTTTAGTCGAGAGACATCCAGGAATCAAGACTAACAGATTTCTTGGTGAAACTCTGGCCGCATCAAGGTCTCAAAAAGGACCCTGACTCGCAGTAGCGAGTCAACGTGTTGCAGGCAGTTTTCGTGCGCAACCCTTCCGAGCGGACATGTTCTTGCGGACATCCTGACGCTGACAAGACTCTGCTTCAGCTGTCCCTTTTCCTCTGAGGGCATCGTGTGGAGGACGTGGATCTTCCTTAGCGGCCAGTCTGCTCGCAATTCCAGACCTTTTCCCGCGTAAGTTTGCCACGAGCCCTGAACAAACGCTGGCCAAGCGCATCATGGAGATCTCGACCAACTCTAAGAGAGCACGGGTGGCCTCCACTGAGGTCCTTGGAGGAAAGGAATGCGCAAGCTTTTCAAGCGTCTTGGCCCTGTCAGCTCACAGCCCTGAAGTTGTGCGTCTACAAATCAACAAATATGTGTGTACATGTACATACACATACACACATATATGTTCATGCATATAATAAATAAATAGATAAATATATACATATATATATATATATGTATTCATTTTTATGTACTTGATTTCACTTGACTTAGCTTACCTCATGGACACGTCGGCCCACACCCGCTTGATGCTCGAAGGGCTGCTAGGTGGTCCACCACAGGCTGCGAAAACAGGGGTCCGGGTGAGGTCAGAGCATTCGACTTCCGAACATCTCTACGGTGGGTTTTTCCCTCCTACTTGGCAAGGACGAGGCCCGCATTGCAGGGTAACTTCGGTCGGTTTGGGCTTAGGGTCAGGGCTAAGCTGCCCACAGACCGACTTGCGAACCGGCCACGGGCATAGTTCTCAGCAAAGGCTCCCTCCGCAGAGGTCCTTGACCTTCAGGAATGCAAGGTCATCTTCAGGAGGCCAGTTGCCTCAGCTGCTCAGCGTATGACCGAAGTTTCAATCCCATCGCAGCCACGGACGGAAGATTCAACCCCAGCTCAACATGACATGGGCTCGCGCGGGGTCACTTCAGGGATGTTTGAAGAAGGGACAAACCGCAGGTATGTGCCGCGGTGAGTGAGCTCAATCCAGGAATCTCACATCGAGTTGAGGTACATGTTCCCTTTTGCTTTATCCTCATCTACCGCGATATGAGTTGGATGTGCTTCCTGTCACGACTCCAACCCTCGAAAACGGAAAAAAACCATGTTTGTTGGCCAAGTACGCAAAATCAATTCGCCTACATGTGCCAAGATTCACAGAAAATGCATCGAGCTGCGTTTTCTCATCTTCGCATACTTCTGCACTCGCTCGAAGTTCTCGCGCGCTGCAGAAGGGCTGTCGCAAAGCACGCGGCACAACCCAGCCAAGTAGGACCTTCACTAGCAGCACGGCAGCAGTGTAGACATGCTGTTGGTAGAGAAGGTGCTTTACGTGGCAGGCGTAGTCGTCCGGACAGTGGCAGCCGACAAAACGCTCAAGTGCTTAGTAGCAGTGAAGCGGTTGTTGATTTCTAGATTTCCGCAGGCATGAGTCGTGTTACGACGGCTGTCCGGCTACTAGACGCTACTAGTGTTATGGCTGGTAGTGCTCTGTACAGTGTAGACGTAGAAATTCCAGCGCAGTTCGTCTTCTGGCTTATCTTGATGCTTCTCATACTGAAGTATTTTTTCATTTCGTGGTCTTGTTATGGTCAACAGGGGGCCAAGCTTTATCAGGTAGACGGATGTAGACGATAGCTACGGCAGCTTACCGTCAAATCATTGGCAGGAACGGCACGCACAGAACTGCAACTCTAGCTGTGAAGGCAGTCCTGCTGGAGTCTGAGTGGCACAACACTCCCGTCTCTGCAACAGTCCGATAACACTGCATCAGGATTCTTGCTGCGGCAACAACACCGAGGGAAGCTAAGTACAGCCTGGGCTTCATTCCTGGGGATGCCAAAGACATGCCGAACATGGAGTATCAGGGGGGGGCCAATAAGCAGGGCTGCAGATAGCTACAGCGATGACGCCGTAAGGCCAGTTCAGTAACTATTGTTGGAGGTACGGCAATCATGTCGCTAATACACAAGCCACATCAATCCACCCAATTGAGGTTCTGATAACCTTATGTACTAAGTCCCACCATCCCGTGAAAAATCTTGCAAACCCACCGAGGCACAACGTTGGCACGTAGCTTCGCCTGACCGTCTTCATTGATCACAAAAGCCGGTGTTTTTGCATCCTTTAGTTTATACACTCTACGGACACGATCGGAGGACCGTGTAGAATAATCTGTTCAACAGGGGAACACAAACAAGCCTTCGGGCTTTTAGGGAGCTTCCTTCTGGGTTCGGAGGGCTTAGAGGTTAAGGGTGAGTGTTTAGCAAAACTTCGGCAACAAGATCTGCTCAGGATGCTCAAAGCGGTCCGTTTTGCATGTCCCTCCAGGAGATTGCCTCGGCGTCATACTTATCCCTACTAAGGTTGATAGTGCCGTAACAGACGCAGCCACACAAATACACTTCAAAGCCTGTCCTCCCGTCTTTCCTCAACTCAAACTCCCGAAACTCGAACTTCGGTTGATTTCGGTGGGTCTCCTCGCTCTGAAGGCTAAAGCCTCCTCGGCCTAGTGGAATGGTACTAAAGAATAAGACGGACCAGAACATACTATTACGTAGTGTAGTTCCTATACCAATCATGTAGTAGAAGAGCATAGCATAGGATAGAAGAAGTGACCATAGAATAGAACATCACATCCTGTACCCTAAACCCTATAAACCCTAAACCCTAAACCAGCCCGCCTCTGCTTCACTTCGCTCACAGCTAAGCTCCGCTCAAAACCTTGAGCTGCAGAGGCCCAGTCGAGCAGCGCCAATGAGAACCTGGTGCGGGCGACCGTGTCAAATCTGGCGAAGCTGAGGATTACAAAATAAACGTGTAAAAAGCACACACACACACACACACACACGAACACACATATATATATATGTATATATGCAGTATACTGGTATGCTATGGTGAAATAGTACAAAAATAATGTAGTCTGAAAATGGATTAGAGTTTCAAGCATCACCACTGCGAAAATTATCAACTCGATGGCTGAGGAAAGCCCGCCAAGGCACATGGCTTTCTTCTGCTCCAGAAAGGAATCAATTGCCTGAAGCACCGTTGCGAGAGGAGATTGCTCTACTCGACAGGTAGAACCGGAACTTGCCAGTCATTCACACAGCTAGTAATATAGGGGGCTTAATGATTAGAATAGGGTTTAGGGGCCCTAAAGTAGTCTGTAACATAGTTGTGCGTTTCGTCAAGTTGCAGGTAGCTCCAGGTGGCCAAGAACTGCATGGACTCTCTCGACACACCTCCGGCAAACGACAAGCGTCCCTGGTGCTACCACTCGTGTACTACGACGACTTGTCACGCTGCTTGCTAGCATCTGCGGCAGGTACTAGAATGGCCAGTTCGCCCTGATCTAAAGACCGGCAGTCAAGCTAGGTGAAGCAATGGCCTGGATGCTTCATGGATCTCTGTGCGAATCACGTGGAGCTCCATTTGCCAGAATTCGAAGACAGCACTGTCGGGGAAGCGCTCTGCCGCCCACTGAAGAAACACGTTGGAAGCTGCGAAGTCATCCGCAGTTATGGCTTCGCCGAGATATGTTTTCCTTAGCTGCGTCAGGCACTTAAATCGGAGCCGTTGCCGCTATGTCTCCTTTCAACAGAAGGCGGTTGGAACCGCACTTGGGCAGCTGTCCATCTGGCTGTGGAGAGAAGCCTCTCTGACAGGCATTGAACCTCGGGCCTTCTGGCCAGAAACCTCCACTGCCGAGCTTCATCCAGATGTTGTAGGCTAGAAGCACCAGCACCGCAAAGGGGGCCATGATGCCCTCTTGCACGTAACCTGAACACCAGTTGTGGCTACACTTCGTCTCCGGCAGGTGAGTGCACAGTGTTCCCAAACCCAGTAATTACTGCGCACTGTTCCTCCCGCGTGATACTCTTCAGCAGACGGATGCCTCACAGCTCACTTAAACTCGCTGCAGCTGCTTCCGTCTTCTTCGAACGCTTCCCCTGCATTACAAACCCGCAACTTTAGCCTCACCGTAACTCGGCACGTCCAAACCAGCGCCCGCACACACGCCCGCTAGAATGCCTCACTTGGTTTGCGTCTGGTGCTCTTAAACAGCTTCGGACAAGACTGATTGACAAATGGCTGAATGCTCACCATGGGAGGCTAGACCCCTAAACTGCAACCCTAAACCTCAGGTACGGCCCCCTTACAGTAAGAGTCTATAATAGGGCTACTATTAAGGTCCTAATATAACTATATTATGAATATTATTCAACTATTACTGAGTGGGGGCCGTACCTAACCTAAACCCCCAAGATCGTCCACAACGCCAGGTGGCAATCGTGGAGCAGCTGAAGGGCATCCGCGCGACTGCCCTGCAGCGTGCGGCCACCAGCCTGCCGATTGAGAAACTGCATATACATACATCAATATTCCATATATATATATATATATATATGTATGTATGTATGCATAGATATAGATATAGACAGTTATATGTATACATACGTGTATGTGTATAGGTGTATGTAGACATGTACAGACATGCATGTGTATATATATATATATATATATATGTATATATATATATATAATGTATAAACATTGGTAAATATATATATATAATGTATAAACATTGGTAAAAATATATATATATATATATATATATATATATCTGTATATATATACATATATATATATATATACGGTGGGGCTGAAGTCGGGCTCTGTTTAAAAGTTGCCATGAACCTGCGTGGCGCAAACGTCTTCCAGAAAACAACCCAAACTTTTTCCGATGCTCCCAAACCCCACTTGAAGGTTCATGGGTAGTTATACAAGTCTCCTAATATGGGTTATAATATTGGCTACCCGACTTATAACCCCACTTATTACTACTCATGAACCTCCAAGCACGCTTCCGGCCATGCCTTCGATGCTACTCGGAGCATCTGGGGCGGCAGCATGGAAAGCACCTGGGAGGCCGAAGGCATGGCGACCCTCAAAAAGAGAACGCCCCTACGAAGCAAGGGAGTCCCGCTTGGTCAGAAACATGATCATGAGCTTCGGACCTTCCTTGCCTCCTCTACTCCCCCAAGACTTCTCCCAGGCTAAACCCCCGCTAGAACCATGTTACAAAAAATCTGATCAATATTCTCTGGGGTTGTATATGAACAAAAATAAACAAACATTCCTAAGGATACTATAGCAAGAGGCTAAGGGGGCGAGGTTCCTAAGCACTAAACCCTATAAACCCTTTTGCAACTGGCTTGCAAAGGTCACGCCTATAAGGCCTAAACCCAAAACCCGTATGCACCCCAAGAACCCTAAGGGCTCCCAAGGGGCTAAGTTGAAAAGGCCCATGACGAAAGCAGCGAAGCTCCGAACGAAGGTCGCCTCGGGGCCCTCGAATCGCAGACCTCCAGAAGTCGGCATGGTCTGAATCTGGACTGCTATTGTAACTAAGGCTCCTGTGCATCGAAGGAAGATTGTATGTGTATATATATATATCGATATATACATATCTGTTTATATTTATATTTATACCGTGTATATATATATATATATATATGTGTGTATATATATGTATATATATATACATATATATATATGTGTGTATATATATATATATATATATATTTGTAAATACGCATTCATACATAAATAAACAAATAAATAAGTATACATATACATTTGCCACAATGGCATGTCACGAAGCGAAGGCAGCATGGAGAGCGCTGAGCCTTCTTCGAAGTCCCGTATGTACCGCAGTGATCGCACCAAGTTCACGCCGGACTTGAGCCATGCGTTCTTTGCAGCTTGTACTACTCCTCGAGCAACGCAGCAAGGTGCCATAACGATGCTACTCTACTACTCATCGTATTATGAGGAAGTACTCCTATGTTGCTGCTCTAAGCATGTGGTGCGCATCCAAGAGAGCACTGACCCAGCTGACACAGATCGCTTTCTGACCGAGAAAGGAAAAACAAGGCCATTCGTCCCCCTTCTGTCGGTTATGCTTATAGTCTCCATTTTAATTCCTTTTATGGGTCACCTTGTAGGCTCCTACATATACAGTTGGTTCAACCAAGAAGAAGAACTACAATGACTCTGGGTGAAGTCCTGCGATCAGGTAAACCATGCCCAAAAGCATCTTCTGGCCGACCCAGGGTGAGTCCTGCACGCGGAGCGTGGAAATCTCGCGAGCTCCGGTTGCTCTTTCTGCTTACATCGCGCTGAAACTAACCAGAAGGCGTACAGCTGGCAGATGCTCGAATTTTTGTGCAATGTGAACCGGGGGATTCGACACCGACCTGCCGAGGGAGTCCTCCAGAAGCAAGCTTTCAGCTGTCCAGACGCGCGCCAAGCATTCATCCAGCTGGTCATTGGCAAACGAAAGTAAGCCAAACCTGGAAGTCTGCTTCCACTGTGGCTATGCATCACCGATGCAACCTCTAGTCCATACTGTGTTACATATGCATATACTAATGCATACATACATACATACATACATACATATGAGGCATTAAATAAGGCATTGCATTCTACTGCAGTTCACCAAGTGATCATCCCGGAATTCACGGCCTGAGTCTAAGTCTTGCTTCCATGGAGCTCACAGCGGCGGTTTCGTCACGATATGTGGTTTTGACGTTGTTTCATTTTTCCCTAGGTTTACTTCAGGGTCATTTGGTGAGATCCCGCTTCACCAGGACTGCCATCCGGTCTCTGCGGAAAGCATCGGAGTGGAGGCCTTCTCTCCTTATCTGAAATTTCCAAAAATTTAGGGGTACCTTATTTTGGGGTCTCTATTGAGGGTACTATATTACGGTCCCCCATTTTCGGAAACTCCTGATCCCCAAACCCCTGAACCCTCAGGCATTGCAGGAGCTACAAGCAGGGCTTTGGAGTGCATGACACGAGCCTTACTAACCCAACGGCCGAATGCGTGAACTCAAAGAAGTAGGTGGGCCCTCCAGGACAGAGTCTGCTTAAGAATAGATATACAATTATACGTGCATACACATATGTATATAAATATATACCAGAATAGGATAAAAAAAAACATTACATTGTATTATGTGAGGAGGTTTCTAAATGCCCCAGGCCGAGTGGCATAAAGCTGACCATCGTGTAGATCAGAGCAAAGGCGCCGCGAGTGTCGCGACCACCTTTGGGCCGCGGGCCTCGGCTGAGGGCTGGGCATTTTAGGCTAAGGGTTCGGGGGATAAGGCTTTGGGAGTTTAGGTCTCGATGTAGAGTTTTTGGGTTTGCATCTGTCTTCGTCGACTTCCGAGCTTGTGCTGTGGTCCTTTGAGGAGGAGTGGTCCGCAAGACCCGGCAAGGACTCACAACGCCTGGTCTTGCAGCTGCAACAGATCTGAGAAGCAACTTCCCAACGAGCCGTGCTGCAGTTGATTTTCCGAGCTTGTGCACATGTGCCCCGCCCCGGGGCATAGCAGACCCCACCTTGCCGGAAAGAACAATACCGCGGCAGAGTCGACACAGAATGATGTACTACGTCGTAGAAAAACGAGTTTGGAAATCTAGAAAGTAAGCAGTAATTCAGAAAGGAAGTGCCACAACTGCCGCTGGGTCCCTCGTAAGTGCTTCACAGGAGGAGCTTGCGCAGTCCACCCTGTGAGCGAGCTTGTGAAACGGGCCCCTCGCCGGACCAACCCAATGAAGACAGTCACACAGGCCGCAACAAATGCATCCCGCGCAGAACACAGACACTGCAATGCCAGCTGGCCAGTAATATAGTGTGTGTAAGAGAGTGGGTTTCAGAACAAACATCGGATCAAACTCGAGAGCGTTGGCTGGCATCTGGCATCGCGATGCCCTTCACATGCTGTGGCTAGGTGCTGCTTCTGACTAGATCACAGGCTTGGCGCTGAGGTGCACGGTCTCAGCAGACAGCCTTCGCCAACATCTCCTCAATCTCTTTCAGCATAAACCGTCCATGCTCACGTCGATTGATCGGCTGAGCTGAAGTGCAGGAAACGTTTGTTCGCTGCTCGCCGTTGTAGCTGTCCGGCTTCGCACGCAGCTGCACCTGCACGAGCCGAGCATAGTAGCAGCCCTTCATCTTCGCCTCCACAGCCTCGCGCCCCTCCGCCTTCTCGATGTCAGCAACCTCCTGCGCCGTCATTCCAAGAACCTTCTCGGCCGCCTGGTGGAAAGTCGTGACCCAGAAGTTACCAGTGGCATCTTCGAATCGGCAGCGAAGATTGAGACGAGGTGCGGCCTTGACAACCTTGTTGCAAACAGCGCAGAAGCCATTTTCGTCGACACGCCGATTACACGGCAGCCCGTTGCCTTCCTTTGGCTCCAGGCAAGCGTTGTAGTAGAGCGGCTGGATGTCATCCCTCTTGCGAAGCTGGATTGAGGCAAGCCGGCAGTAGGCAGAGTACATCTCCTGCTCGTTTAGGAGCTGCTCGGACTTCTGCTTCATCCTGGGCTTTTAAGTAACCAGGGCGAAAAATGTATAAACTTGTGTTTCATAATGGTCCCTGGTATTAAAGTGTGGTACAAGATCTCCAAAGCCCAGCATCTCCAAGACATCCATGAGCTTCCCAGCGATTCGAGCTCCAGCACCGCCAGTTGTCTGCGAGATCAAAGTCAGGTTCTGCGCATGGCCACCCTGTGTCCACCAGGCTCTTACCTTCTGCGCTTCGGGCATCTCCGGATTGAAGGCAATGGAGCCGCTCTCCATCAAGGACCCACTCAAGCCTCCTTGCCACTCCTTCACCGTGACTCCCTTCATGGCGACGACTGGATTCCCCTGAAACTCCGAGTCTTCTTTTTGGGCGCGATCGCCCCATATTGTGACTTGCATGCTGATGCCGCTGTCGTCTGCGAGGGTCAAAGTTCTTTTCACAAGATCTTTCCCGTCCTTGGAGGTGAAGGCAAAGGCTTTGTCGAAGGCAGTGACGATGCCACAAACGTCCACGCTGCATGGCAGTGCCTTTCCCTGCACCGAACGCAGCTCAACCACCGTGAACTTGACGGCATCAATCCTTCCATCATCTGCAACTTCATCAACCTTGGATGCTTTGTCGAAGACAAGCTCATAGCGATGCTTGCAGGCATTGAACTGCCTGTTCGCGAGCTTGACCTGCCCCTTGCTGAGAGTGAAGCACTTGCCGACCTCCATCAGTTCGAAGTACTTCTCCGCCGCATCGTTGAAGAAGCTTGCACGGATCTCTCCACCCTCGGCATCAAGCAGCTCCACATGAAAGACCTTGCCAAAGCCACTTCCGTTTCTCTGCTTAAACGTTCTCAGCGGTGCTTTGCTGGTCACACGGCCCTTGATTGTCCACTTATTCTGATAAGTGGAGAGCTCACGGATTGGGAAAAACTCGTAGCCGGTCATCATCTTGGCCGCCGGGCTTCGCTACGACGGATCCCTCTCTACCTTCTCCTTTGTATCTGGGCTTGAAGCCGCCAAAATGGCTATGGAGAGATGCCAAGTCCGTACGCCAAGTTCCCAAGCCTTTGTGCCTAAACCCCTAAACCCCAAATACAGTCTCAGTCAAGGCACACTCCGCGCCTTGCCGAAAAATCTTCTCGGCTCCTTTAAAGTCCTGAGACGGAGAGCATGGATGATATGGCCAGTGTTAGAAACCTTTTGTAGCCTTTAAACGGCATCCTATAGTAACTATTGTACCCTTTAAGGGTGTGGAGTTGAAGATAATGTAGGAGCCTGATTAAGAAACCCTGGTGCTATAAACCGCAAAATGATAGGAATCAAATAAGGAACCCTAATAAAGGCCCAAGGTTTCTTGATCAGGTTCCTACATTAGCCAATTCTTTAAGCAGCTCGCCGGACTGTGAGAGATCTGGAAGTGCAGACCCAAGCGTCATTCGTAAAAAGATGTCGAATACCGTCCTGCAGAATCAGGCCGCTGATCTTCCTCCCTGTCTCATACGCCTCTAATCTTCGCTTCTCGCCCGGTCACCAGCCTCTCTCAGCATTCAGCGCTTCATGACTCCATGTACCACACTTGAACTTGAAACATGTCATACTGAGCGCGAACATGCAGCGCCCATCTCCCACCCCTCCGTCCCGGTCCGCCCTCCCTCTCGCAGAGGCGTTTGTCATTAATTAAAGTCGTTGTAGCCAGGTGGTGCCGGAATCCCTGGTGGACACGGCCAGCACGGGAGTGTGGAAAGAACGAGGTTTCGTGATTAGTGGAATATGTCCGGAGCGCAAAGCGAGAGCCGCGGAACCGCCATCTGCCTAAGCATCCCGCGGCGGTCTGAAGTGTTCAGGCAAAACACGCGTAAAACTCTAACATTCGTCACAATATGAAACAGAATACTTAGCAATAACAGTATATTTAAAAAGTAAAACCAATGATTCGGACCGGTGATAATGAAGATGCTAAGCGATCCCCAGGCAGTGATAGAGCAGCACGAAGACCACTACGACCAGTACGACTGCGACGTCCGGGACGACAACGACCACTACGACGAGATCACCAGAAGACTCACAAGGCCAGGACCAGCACCCCAAAAATCGTTCCTCTGGCGGATTCACGACCTCCATGAATCCATGAATCTCCCCATGTACTGGCGGGATGCGGGATCACAGCGCAAACAATGCCCCAATATACTGGCAGATTCAGGAGAACGGCCAAAATGCTTCCCCCCAAGAGTCGGCGGGATGCAGGAATTTCATGCATATCCTGTCGCGAGCGCCTCGCGGCTACCACTAACCCTTTACGATAAAATAATTAACAACAACCAGAATGATATCTATAACACGTACAGTACGTAGCAAGAAGAAAGCAGCAGCAGCAGCAGCAGCAGCAGCAGCAGCAGCAGCAGCAGCAGCAGCAGCAGCAGCAGCAGCAGCAGCAGCAGCAACAACAACAACAACAACAACAACAACAACAACAACAACAACAACAACAACAACAACAACAATTTATTGGACGCTGAGCGAGCGGGCTCTGCTCATTGCGGGCGTGTGAAACTGCCTTTGCACCTGAGCAAAGAGCTGAGAGCATAGTAAAAAGAGTCTGGGCCTGGAGTCTTGAGGCTGGCAGTCAGCAGCAGACAAAGCTGAGAGCTACAAGCTACCTCAGAGGCCATCACTTGTCACTCAGTTGGGTGAGAAACCCTCCGTCACCCTCAGTGTGGACTATGGCGTCCCATGTCCACGAACCAATGATTGATGAGCCGTACCCAAGGGGCCGTCACTCGGAGTGCCTGTTTCGTGGCGTCCCACTCATGGTCACTCACAATCAGAGGCGATGGGCCGTAAGGTCGCAAAATGGCATAATGTCCGTGGCCAACCAATGGAGGTAGTGGAAGCTGCCCACGCCTTGGCGTAGGCTCATGAAGAAAGACGGTATCCAACCCGATCTAGCATGGCATAGCTGCCTCGATGTGGCAGTTGGGCTTGCTCACACAAAGTGAGCAACGAGCAGGCTCGTGAATGCGGATATGCTGTTGACTGAGGCAGCTCTTCTTTTTGAACCAGAGCAGAGTGCATCGGCAAAGTCACGGCACCCCCGGGAGCTGAAGCTCCGTGCCATGGAAGGCCAATGAAAGATTAAATGTCATGGACGTATCAGGCGTTGCCTGCGTGCGAGCTGCGAGCGTTGCCCGACGTAACTAGCTGAAGCTACGTCGCGTGAGGGCTCAAGAGATCTGTCAGACCTAAGGGAGATGAAAACCGAGATCAACAAGAGTGGCTTTATGCGCACTCGACAACCGGCCAGGGTCAGAAATGCTGTATGCAGCCAGCGTGATACGATCTGTAAGACTCCAACCTCGAGTACAGTGAACATGGTTGTGAGCTGGGAAAATGAGTGCCTGAAAGGCCAGGCTAAATGGGCGGCCACTCAGCAGACCATAGTCAGTTTCTTCGTAGTCGGTGCCTTGCCAGGATTCCACCCAGACTGAGCCTTCATCGTGGTGGGAGAGACTAAGCAGCAACGTGCCCGTCTTGGAGTTGGACTGATCTCGATGAGGTGGAGTACGGACGTTGAGGTTCAAGGAGAAGGTAGTCCATTGATGCTCTGGGCAGATGTGCTCAATCAGTCTGTTAAGCAGTCGACAGAAGGATCCATACCGAACCGTGTCTGCACAAAGTCCAATAGGTCCTCGTGCAAAAGCGCCGAAGGTGACATTGTTGGCGCTGCCATCAGAGAAGCGTTGGCGACCTGGGCGCCACGTCAAGGCTCGAACTGCTGTGCGCACAGCATTCCAGAGCGGTGACTGAGCGTCTTGTAGCAAATGCCACGACAGAGTTTCAGCGCTTGGGGTCCTCGCATCCAACTCACCGTACGGAAAGGGCATATGAGTGTCAAGGCTGCGAGGGAGACAGGGTTGCAGACGTGCAAGGTAGTAGGACAACTCCTGCATCCGTTCATGCCCAAAGGTCTGAATGGCCAGGTGCAGCAGATCGTTGTAAGATAGCATACCCGCTTCGGCCGGAAGCGACAAGCGTGGCGGTCGAGCGGCCAGGGCGTGCATGGCCTGTAACAAGAGGTATTCCTCCAGGGCCACGGCGTACAGATCCGGCGGGAAGTCTCGCGTTTGGAACATGATGTAGGGAGCTTCCTGACTATGTTTGCTGCTGGAGCCACATGCCCTAGAAGAGAGTGAAAGAGAGTGGTCCCTAGCTCGTGCGGTAAGAGCAGAATGACTGAAAGAAAGTGTGTATTCCGCTCAGGAGAATGGCATCGCTAGCGGAGGCTGTGCTGCTTGACGCGTCTCTGAGCGCTTCGTCAAGGACGCCCGGTTGGTAAGCAGGACGTTGCCTGACATCAGTGCAGGCGTTGCCTGTATTGCATAGGTGCTGAGCAGAAAGAAAGAGATAGATTCCAGTTGCCTATTACCAACAACGCGCAATGATGTCAGCAGGCGGTGCCTGACATCAACAGGGGCGTTGCCCGGCAGCCGCAAAAGGTGAGACTGGCTAAGTAGCCCTGGCATGCAATGGCTCAGCGGTAGTAGCCGTGGTATGCAGCGTTCCTGGCATTGTAGGAATTTTCTTCCCAGTCCTGCCAGTCTTGCCAGTCTTGGGAGTCGGCAGATCTGGAGTGTTGTTCGGGCGGAGGCTCGTGGGATCCATACGGGTCCGACCTCCTGGACTCCTTGTTCTCACGGTGCTCAGCTTGTTTTTCGCGGCGACCACGAAGCTGCTGGCCAGTAACATTGCGAATCACGTTCAGCTTGCTATCCAGGACTTGGCCGTGCGTAATCTTGATGGTTGGATGGCTGTCACGCGTGGCCTGGATGATATTGACGTGGGAGGGCTGGTGCGCCTTCTTGGTGGCTGCCTCATAGATGGTCTGCAGGGTCGTCGCGAAGAGGCGAAACTCATCCTGAGTAGCCACACGCTCGCCCTCGAAGAGAGCGTAGGGAACCCCATTTTTAATGGTAGCCTGAAGGCCCCCGAGCCAGGTCGTGAGCTTGGGGTGGATGTGCTCTTGACCAGCACGGTCCTTCGTGGCCATCGTTAAGTGGCCAGAGGAGTGGACAACAAGTCGTCCCGAGATCACAGAACGCCAGCTGAGGTCTTTTCGATCAGCTTCAGGTTTTTGGTAAACCCTGCTAAGGCCAGCAAGCACGGTTGGCAGCTTGGTCAAGACCTGAAGTCGGGCATTCCATATCGCTGTGAACTCCTGGGGCTGAAGAACACCCACTACTTCAGGAGCCGTCAGTGACTGGAGGTCCGCTACTGCCACCACCCAGTCGTAGAAGTCCTTCTCGGCACAGAGTTCCTCCATTGTGGGAGGAGTGTTTGCTGGCTCTTGAGGAGGAGCTTCATGACGATGCGGTGCATCAAGTATGGCTGGTCGCGGTGCGACGTATGGCGGCGGGGAGGCAGGCTCGTTGGGCTGCTGATTTCCGGTAGCTGAGGAGGAGGCCGCCGCAGCGGCCTGGCCTGAGCGCCCAGTGGTAGCCCTGGCATAGGCCTCTTCTCCCGCGTGATGCCATGTAGCACCGCTGCCACGTGTCCGCAGAAAGTGCGGCAGTAGGCCCTGAGAGGTGTGGAACATGCAGGGCCCGCCAGATTTGCCCGCACAGAAGACACAGCACAAAGTGTCACCATGCTCTGAAATGGCTATGCCAAGACCGCGCGGGATGAGCTCCTGGGCTTGCTGCTTGGTGAGTTCTCCATAGAACTGCGGCCACTTTTCAATAAGCTGCACAATCCGATCAAGAAGGCTGGTGTCGAGAGCTTCAAGCACATGGGCCTGAATGGTGGCTTCAGTGGGGACCGGAGTCATGGAGGCGTTGCCTCGCCGGGTCGTGGCGTTGCCAGCCTCCTGTGCTGCGTGGAGTGCAGTAGGGAGTCCACGAAGTATGGCATCGTTGTTTGCTTTAGTGGAAGCCGGATCAGACTTCCATCCCTTGTTCCAACCCCAGCACCGAGTAAGAGCGATGAGTTGCTTGGAGGCTGTGCGGAACCCATGCCCCTCATTGGGGGGCACGCCCTGCATTCGCCGCAACTGATCCTCATGAACCTCCTGCAGCAGATAGATCGGGCCTAGTGTCTGGGTGAGGTGCCAGCCAGGGGCCAGGCTGCGTCCCTGCGCCGTTGGGTGGAGGACCGGGTCGCTGAGCAGGTCCTGGCGTACGATCTCGTAGAGGGCGATGCAGAAGAACATATACTTCTCGTTGATGGCCCCCTGCGCATCTACATATTTGTGCTGAAAAGCATGACGGAGTGCAGCAGTCATGAGGGGGTGCTGCCGTCGTCCCATGAGGATGCCCTGGAAAATGTGGTCCTTTTTCTGACCGATGGCCGTGAGGAAGTAATCAGGAGGGCCGCTGGCTCGCAAGGTGTCAGCATCCCATCCATAAATTTGGGAGGCAAGGTCGGAGAGGAGTGGCTTGGCTCGCCACTCTGCCACGATGGAGGAGTGA